ATTAGAAAGAATTATATGAAATACCACTGTATTTGTTTAGAAATTTGAAATATTTTAGCAAGAAATGAACTGGGTGGACTAAACTGTCTGGATTTTCTTTTTTACAGATTTTTGGATTCCCCGACCATAACCCCACAACAACACACACACTGCAACCTTTTGAACAGGCTTTAAAACTCAAGCTGTATAATAAAGCATATCTTATCTTAAAGATTAAGCATTTCTGAAAGAAAAAAAAAACTCCTACAGCTATTAAATAGCCTTTTACTGACGTAAAGGTGCAGAGGTGATGCCAACAACCGTTATCAGGCTAACAATAAATGTTCCAAAGTACACACAGTAAATTTCATGTGCTTGTAAAACTTACTCAGCCTCCTTTGTTTTACATTCACTGTGGTTGTAATTGATATTAAAATATTAGTACATTTAGGATAAATTACAGCCTTGAAGCATTAAATATTACAGATAAGATTATGCTTTTTGTGGTCTTCTGTATCACCTTAACTTCCCCATTAGCTTTATACTTCATTACTACTTCTACTGACACCATACATTTTTTTACTGTCCGGATTATGAATCTTCTGAGGGGTCAGTACTACCTCATCATGAACACACCACCTTAATAATGGCCATACTTTCTATGATTAAATACAACCAAAATTTCAACATAGCAAAGCAATAAAATGAGTGTGAAAATAAACATTTAAATTCAAGTCACATGGTTATTGTAAGAGGGCCTCACTTCTCCGGACTTAGTCTGACTGGCTCTTAGTCTACTAGCCAGCACTTTAATCCTATTTTGAACTCTCCATCAGGAGCATCAACCCAGGCTTATAAAGCTTAAACCTCTTCGCAGAACAAACCAAGCAAACATTAGTCTGTTAACTGTCATAATAGATGATTTTACACAAAAGCAGCACAAAGATATTCTAGGTATCAATTCTGTGGCTTTTACAAAAACAACCACAAACATAAAAGTTTGCTTAGAGTGACTAAAAGGTTGTTTGAACAGACTGAAAAACTCCCCCTGCTGGTCAAAACCTTTATTGTCATTTAACTATTTGTGATGGCCACTCGACTCCCTCACCACAGCGTCAGCACTGAAATAATCAGTGCCAGGAACAGAAATAAAACACAGTAATTTGATTTTGTGTGCATCACTCATTCATCTGTTTCTGATGAATGTGTAGTTAATGCAACAGGTCTGGATATATGTAAGGTAGTTATCTTGTTGATGTCAGACGTCAGGAGAATAGACAGAGTATTTTAAACTGACAGGAAACCCAGAATACAAGTCATGCAGAAGAGCACCTGAAGATGGAACACAGATGGTCCACAGCATCAGAAGACCAC